AGTGCTCAGTCAGTCTGCAACTAAATTGACATACTCACAGTGCCCAACTGGCCTGTGACAAATACAAAAGCAGTTTGCCCATGAACAAATACCTGTGGTTACATAAAAGAGATTATTCAAGCCTTCAAGATATGAAAGGCAAAGGCACCTATATACCCATTTTATAAAGTTTGTGGGGGTTTTTGAAACCCTTACGACTACACATTTAAGCTTATTTTTAGAGACTATAAGTTTTTGCTGTGATGAATCAAAGAAAAAAGATAAAATAAGAAGCTTACAGGTTTGTATCTTAGTGCATCTCTGTAGGATCCAAACAGCACTGCCTGTGCCCTAAGAAAGGCCCTAGCTACTCCATCACCCGTTGCTGTAGACTGCTTCTTCAGTTTATTTTTCAAGGCCGAGACCTGCATGACAGAAAGGAACAGTTAAATTAACACCTTAGAAATTGGTACAGCGAGGCATGAACCCAATCAGCAGGCAAACCACAGTGTCTACAGGTCAGCCAAAAATTCATCCTCTTCCTTGATAGCTTATCTTTCTAACTGCAAAAAGCACCTGCTGGTCTGTTAATTGAAATGAAAGCAGGGGATGATGGTAAAGTGCTAATGCAAATTGGTTTATGCTCTCTTTTTTCCCAAGGCCTCTTGACATAAATAAGCTTTAATTATTTTACAGTAAACTGCTTGTGAGCAACTTTTCTGCACATTTTTGTGATGCTAACATGTGTCTACTCGTCTATGATGCAGCCAGTTAGGCATTTTTCATTTATACTGTGAAGGGTTATTTTTAAGGGCATTTAATGCTCACTTACCACTCATTTTGAAGGGTTTTTTTATGTCAGATTATTAGTGTACATCATTTTTATACATCCTGTGAGCAGTTGCCACCACTGTTTACTAGCTGAAGAAGGCCTGTGGAAATTCTATATTAACACAATCTTCAGAATTGTCCCAAGCAATAAAACGTATGAATAGAAAAACCCACCCTTATATGAAAGAATGAGGCACCTACAGTAAGTAAGACACCATCTTTATTTCAGAATCATAGAATTGTAAAAAATTAGGGTTGGAAGGGACCTAGTCCAACCCTTCTCAAAGCAGGACCAGCCCCAACTGGAACATCCCAGACAAGGCTTTGAAAAACCTCAAAGTCCACAACCTCTCTGGGTAACCTCTTTCAATGTTTTACTACCCTCCTAGTGGGAAAGTTTTTCCTTATATTTAACCTAAACTTCCCTTGCTGCAACCTGAGATGGTTGCTCCACTGAGAACAGTTTAGCTATATCCTCCTTTGAACCCCTCTTCAGGTAGGTGAAGGCTGTTATTAAATCCTCTCTCATTCTTTTCTTCTATAAACTAAATAAGCCCAGTTCCCTCAGACTGTCCTCCTAAGTCATGTACCTCAGTCCCCTCACCGTTGTCACTGCCCTCCACTGGACCCTCTCTAAGTTGTTTGCATCCTTTCTGTAGTGGGGGGCCCAAAACTGAACACAGTACTCCACATGTGGCCTCACCAGTACTGAATAGAGGGGAAGAATCATTTCCCTTGACCTGCCAGCAACACTCCTACAAATGCAGCCCAGTATGCCATTAGCTTTTTTGGCAACAAGGGCACACTGCTGGCTCATATTATGCTTACTGTCCACTGTAACCCCCAGGTCCTTTTCTACAGAGCTCCTGCCCAGCCAGTCAGCCCCCAGTCTGTACTGGTGCATGGGATTGTTCCATCCTAAATGCAGAGCTTTGCACTTGTCCTTGTTGAACTGCATGAGATATCTTTTGGCTCAATCCTCCAATTTGTCTAGATCAGGGCGTGTCACTTGGGAAGGCTCTATGGAGTACACATGGGAGGGGATGGGCCACCCTGTGCCACCACCTCCCAGGTGCAGGGCTGTGGGGGACAGCTGGACGCGGGGGAGGAAGCTTGCACACAGAGGCTGCCTCTGCCACCCACCACCCCATACTGCTGCCGCTTGCCCCCTAGCCCTCCGCATCCAGCCCCCGGGGGGTACAGTTATTAAAAATGGTTGAAAACTCCATGTCTAGGTCACTCTAAATCCTAGCCCTATCCTCCAGCATATCTACTACTCCCCCACCCCCAGCTTGGTGTCATCTGTAAACTTGCTGAGGGTCCACTCTATACCATCTTCCAGGTCATTGATCTAGATATTAAACAAAACCAGC